GCACCAAAATGAATAAAATATAATAAGTTAAGCTTTACTTATTTTGTTTTATTCATTTTATTGCAGGTTTAACAAATTCGACTTACTTTTTTCCCAACATATACTTATTTTCTGTTTTCTTCATGACTTCGGTAATACGACATGGTGTATTATATATTTGTAAATAAAACTCAACTTGCCTACACACACTTCCGGTCCCAGAATGTATTATATAATTATAATTGTATACTTATTATATATATATATATATATATATATATATATATATATATATATATATTATTAGTATACTTATTAAATCAGAGCGTATTGAAACGCTAGCAATATTTATTAAAAATAAATCAAAACAAGAAATACAATATTAACGATTTTTCTGCAAAAGAATTATGTGGTAACGAGCCAAGGGCTGTTCAGATAGTTACTTATAACTGTTATCTTAATTATATCCCACCAATTTAAAAAAAAAGAAATATGGGAACGAAAGTTTGTTCTGAAATTTTTTTAGTTTTGCAATTCTTGAATGTCAATATTTCGCAAAAATAAGCTGATACGATTTTAGTGAAAATGGATTTCGGTTACTTAGGTGATACGAACAAGGTTGCATTTTCAATTTTCGTCGTACGTTTTAATGAACTTTTAACTAATTCAGGAACAGTGTGATATGGAAGGAACCGCTTTACACTGTCAAGGAAAAAGTTGCCAAAACTCAATGCAATTTTTAGCAACTTCAATCTTGCACTTTGTTATACTAAAATTAATTTTTTAGAGTTTGATTAAAAAGTTTGCAATTTAGGTGAAACCTTACAGGATTTCTTTAATTTATGTACACAGTTTGATCCAAAACCTGAGATCTACCACATTTTTTGAAATCTACCACATGTTTTTCCAGATTCTACCACACAGAATTTTTCTAAGTCCGATCACTGGTTTCTGGTACAGAAGGGCTGGTAAATATTTAAAATGTCATTTTAAAATTTTATCCTTGAAATCTCGCAATATATGTTTTTGAAAAAATTATATGTTAAGGGCTTATATAAACTCGATAACATCCTCGAATTTCGTTCTTCAAACTTTGTCAGCTTAAAAATTACCTATTCATCCTTGTGGATCCAAAAAATTAAAATCTTTTAAATCCTAAAACAGTTTCCTATTGCATTTGTTACCCATACTTTTCTATTCAAATTGTTCAAAGGTAATGAATATCAAATCCTGGGATTAATCCCGGAATCCCGGGATTGTGACATCGCCATCCCGAAAATCCCGGGATCGGAAAAAGCAGAAAAATTAACATCCCTAACTTTCACTTTTTTTTAATAATTTTTGGAATTAATCATATCTTTGAAAATACAAAGTCCTTCAATATAAATCTTGCGGTCAGAGAGAAAAAATAAAAACGCCACTTTAAATAAAAATAAAGTAGGTTTCAAACCCATTTATTTATTATTTATTTTATGGTAGGAGAGCTTTTCAAACAATATAGAAGCAATTTTTATACCCGAGCGCACTTGTGCACAAGGGTATTATAACTTTGTTCACATAACGGTTGTTTGTAACAGGCAAAACGAATCGAGATAGATATAGCCAAATGTATACATAAATGATCAGGATGAAAAGAGAAATCGATTAAGCGGTGACTGTCCGTCCGTCCGTCTGTCCGTCCGTCTGTGCACGCGATAACTCGAGTAAAAATTAAGATATCTTAACGAAACTTGGTACGTGTACTTCTTTCGGGCGTAGGACGGATGGTATTGAAAATGGGCAAAATCGGACAATAACCACGCCTACCTCCCATATAACGGTAATTTTCAGAAATACGAAAACTGCGACATTTTAGTAACTACTGAAGATTATTCACTCAAAATTGATATTTGCAATAACTTTTAGACGAAAAATAAGATTATTATAAATTTTTGAAAAATGGGCCTAGCCACGCCCACTTAGTGTTCATTTGTATATCTTGGCAACCGCTGCACCGATTTCTTCCAAACTTGGCACAGGTATTGGCCTTGGTACAGGATACCAAATGGCCGAAAATTTAACAAATCGGACAATAACCACGCCCACATCCCATATAACGGTAGTTTGGAGAAATACGAAATCGTCGATAAATCCGTAAATATTGAAGCTAATTTATTCAAAATTGATGGTTGCAACAATTCAGGAAATACGCTTATCATAAAATTTTGGAAAATGGGCGTGGCACCGCCCACTTATGATCACATATATGTATCTCGGTAAACGTTCTACCAATTTGTACCAAACTCGGCATGGTTATTGTGCTTGCCACATAAAAGCAAAACGTTCAAAATTATTGAAATCGGACTAAAATTACGGCTTTTCATATAACGGTAAATTTTAGAAATGCTCGAAACGTCAATATTTCGAAATTTAAGGACGCTAATTTATTCAAAATTGATACACCCCGGCTTACCATGTAGCGGTAGCTTTCGGAAAGGTGAAAAGGCATATATGTAATACTTGCGCCGGGTATTTAATGTTCGGCCCCGCCCGAACTTAGACTTTCTTACTTGTTTCTATTCAAGTTGTTCAAAAGTAATGAATATCAAATCCTGGGATTAATCCCGCGATCCCGGGATTGTGACATCGCCATCCCGAAAATCCCCCCGAAAATCCCGGGATCGGAAAAAGCCGAAAAATTAACATCCCAAACTTTCACTTAACCATTCAATACTTATTTATTTGTCCATCCACTTCCATCGTTAGTAGTGTTTTAAGGCGCCGTAAAGCAAGTCAAAAAAATACATCGATGTTTTTTTTTCCATTTGATGCATCGAAACATATTTAGCATCGATTCATATCGATATATCGTATAAAAGCTGCGATATTTTTGATGCATCGAATGAAAATATTTAAAGTTTTTTTCAGTATCCAACAAGAAAATTAAACAATCAGAGCTTCGATAAATGTTTAAGTTCTAACTCACAGTGAAATGTATTTATTGATTTAAATAGTTACAAATCCCAGTTTTTTGGTTTGTTTTGTTGTGTGAAAAAAGTTTTCGGAAGGTACTGAAGTGACGACAATAAGCGTAATATAATGTGTGCGAGCTAGCAATCAGATTCTATTTCGGTGCATTTATTTGGTAATTTATTATCATAATTTTTTCTTTCATTCGACACCCTTTTAAGAGAGAACTTATGAAGTTTTTTGATTTGAGAAAAATTAAAAAAAAAAAACATGTCGAGAAATTCTTGCCGCTTGTGCAAATGCACACATATCGTTGCTATACTGATGTTTTCAGTCCCTCAGGATGAGGACCTAAGCCGAAATCGGGCAGAGGTGTGCAACAAAACCAAAGGATGATGCCAGAATTCAAAAAAGCGAAAATAATAGATTCAAATTTTGCTTTGAAATAAACATCACTTTATATTGGGTCAGAAATAAAAACAACGCGTTCAGAAGATGCAATTGCGACAGTTACTGAGCTGTTGCGCCTTCTGAACGTGCCCATTATTTCACTATGTTTATAAGCTATGTGGTCGGCCGCTGTGGTGTAGTAAGCAGTGCGCGCTTTCACTCATCAGCACCTGGGTTCAAGCCCTGGTCAAAGCAACATCGCAAAAAATATAGAAAAAGGTTTTTCTTATCTGCGGTCGTCCCTACACTCAGAAAAAAGCCAGCCAAATATATTCCTCTCAACACATGATTTGGTAACTATAAACAAATAATGTAACTATAACCAAATCATGTGTTGATAAAAACATATTTAGTTGACGTAACTAAACTCTTTTCTCAGTGTAGGCAGACAATGGCAAAGCTCCGAGTGTATTTCTGCCATGAAAAAACAGCTTCTCATAAAAATACAATCGCCGTTCGGAGTCGGCGTAAAACTGTAGGTCCCTCTACTTTGTGTGACAACATCAAGGCGCACGCCGCAAGTCGGAGGAGAAGCTCGGCCAAACACTAACATATGTGTAAGCGCCAATCTATTATTATTATTATTATTATAAGCTATGTGAAACAATTTTGGAAATTGCTGTTTAAAATCTGTCCAAATTTCCAAAGGGTTTTAGAGTGTCAACATCATATATATCAATTAACATCATTTTGCAGATGGTTGTCTGGCACTAAACGTTTCTATTAATAAATTAGCAATTTATTAGTGCAAATAACTCATGCCCATACCTTTTGCATAATATAAATAGAATGTATATTCTAATAGTGCATAAATAGTGAAATTTCGACACCTAGAATAGTTACTAGAGCAAAGAGTTTGGAAGCATACAAAATAATTTTAATATGTACAGTATACAGTGCACAGATAAGTCGATGTATCGAAAAAAATACATCCATATATATCGGAAGGTCCAAAACAAAAAAAGTTACGATACAAACCGAATTTCTCATATCGCATATCTCTGGAAGTGGTCATGGTAGAGCTCTGCTAAATTCAAAATGAAAATTCTAGTTAAATACAGTGGTCGAAATAATTATAACCGCACCACATTTTGACAAGTTTTAACATATTATTTTTGTTGATATTTACTTTTGGTTATTTTTTTATAAAATAAATATAAATATAAACAACATGAATAAACGATCATTGTAGTCTCACAACCAGTAGGGAAATTTAGCATATTTATTGCTATGTAATTTTGATAAGTTAAATTAGTTAGTTCATCGTTGATTTCCGAAGCGAAGCCAAGAATATTAATCTCTGCGTCCATGTATTTACAATAGCCCAAAAAATTCTTATTTTTAAAATAGATAGAAGCATATTTACATATGTGCACAGTTAATTTACTAAACGTTTTCTTAGAAGGGAATATGAATATTTTCTAAATTAAGGGAATTAAGGGAAGGGAAATTAAGGGAAGGAATATTTTCTAATTAAATTAATTAAATCAGACACTTTAAACGCAACTTTTGAAATATCCCGTTTTTTGGATTTGTGACGGTCCTTTAATAAATGAGCGATAAAATAAATCTGTATACGAAATCAAAAATTAAGTTCCTGTTTTATTTTCTAACACTTACAGGCTGTGAAAAATGAGGTTAATGTTCCTTGTGTGAAAAATTTCGTTGAGCTGTTGTATGTACAAACCTTGGATGCTTCGACGAAATCGAAACATCGTCTAGCTTTATTTCCGTTAGTCACATGCTTGCTCTGTGTGTCGCAAAAAACATTCTTCCTTTCAAATTGGCATTATTTCCTAGCCATGTGCCTCAGCAATTTGAAAAACCGTGATGCGAAAATGAGCCGAGTAGCACTGGAGTCGCTTTATCGTCTATTATGGGTATACATGATAAGGATAAAATGTGAATCCAATTCGGCGACTCATTCAAGACTACAAAGTATAGTAAACTCCTTATTTCCAAAGTAAGTTTGGCAATTGAAAACGATTATTAAGTAAACGATTGTGCTCAAAAACACATGTTAATTTCATCATCCCACAGAGGCTCAAAAGGTGTCGTGCCCCGTGATACTCCTCTGAACATTTTTGTGAAAATCATTCAGTTCATTGCGCAGGAGCGTTTGGATTTTGCCATGCGGGAAATTGTTTATGATTTACTCTGCGTGGGACGTTCGATTAAGGTCAGTAGCGAGTTGTAAATCAAGTTGGTGTGTGTATGCAAAATCTCTTTTTCTCTTTTTGTGCTAGTTGATTTTAAATCCGGAACGTATGAGCATCGGACTACGCGCATTTCTTGTTGTGGCCGATTCCTTGCAACAAAAAGACGGCGAACCACCTATGCCACGCACTGTGCCTGTGCTACCCTCCGGCAATACATTGCGAGTGAAGAAAACATACATCAATAAAATGCTAACTGACGATACTGCCCGCAGCATTGGCATGTCGACCTATTTTCCACATGTGCGCCGTGTTTTTGTGGACATTTTGCGAGCACTGGACGTGCATTACGGTCGCCCGTTAATGATGACAAACACGCAGAATCAGAATAAAGAACCCGATGAGATGCTCTCTGGTGAGCGCAAGCCACGGATCGATCTATTTCGCACATGCGTCGCTGCAGTACCTCGTCTCATACCAGAGACGATGACCCCACAGGAGTTGGTAGACTTGCTCTCGCGGTTGACTGTGCACATGGACGAAGAGTTGCGCATCTTAACACACCAGTCGTTGCAAACTTTGGTGATTGACTTTCCGGATTGGCGTCAGGACGTCGTGCACGGGTACACCCAGTTTCTAGTGCGCGATGTCACCGACACTTATCCGCAGTTATTGGAAAATTGTACTCGTATGTTATTCGTATTTCTGAACATTTGGCGTTGTGCAATAAATGTCAATGGCAATGGAAATTCAAGCGCGAATGCGCTTAAAATCTCAATGACAACTGCCGGAGTAGTAAATTCTCCTGCTGGAGTTGGCGGTGGTGTTGGTGTCGCAACAGTTGCAACTGCCTTAAGTGGCTCTGGTGCGGGTAAAGACACTGCCACAAGCCAGCTCTCTAGCGCAAGCAATGTAAAAAGCGTAAACACAAATTCAAGTGGCACTTCCAGCATTACATCTAGCGGAATATCTAGCATTACGCAAACGACTGTCATTAATATTGGAGATGCTGCTAAGAAAAACGAGATACCGCTGGTTACCACGCTACATTTTGTAGAGGGTTTTGCTCTGGTACTGCTCTGTAACTATCGTCCATTCTTGCGAAAGCTGGCAGCTATGATTTTGAAAGAAGTGAAGAATCTTATGAAAGCACTGGGCATACCAGAGACGGAGCCACCAGTTATCGATGTAATTGATAAGTGCTGTCCACAGGTGCGTCACAATTATTACAAATATGCAATTACTATCATTACAGGAATTCAAATTTTCAGGTACTTGAGAAGTGTTTACCCCATTTGCCACCTTCGGAGAAGACTGCGATCCTCAATGCGAATGCAATCGATTTGCAATGGATTGCCGAACGAACAAGTGGTATATGGATGGCGGGGTTAACAGATGGTAAAATAATAATTTTAAACATTTGCTAATTTAAAATTTAGTTTCTTTAGACACGTCGAAATCATCAACTTCGACTCTGAACTTGTCACAAGGTAGCGCAACACATCAGCAGCAACAGTTCGATCCGTGGTCGATGGTGTTGTTTGGTTTTCTGGAACGTAACCGCATTTTGCAGCAGTGTGCCTCCGCCGTTGCGCAGGCTTGGCCCATCTGCTATTCACGCGTGACAGCACTTTACAGCGTCATCGATCCCACGTAAGTTGCTTTCATTTGAATCTGTCGTTCATACCGCACTATAATTTATATTTATCTGCAGACCTGTTAGTGATAATCGCGCTTCATTACTGCGCAGCTCAGCGCCAACTAAGAAAGTGCCCACCGAAAGCCAAAAGGATCTTTATTTAAAATTATGGCGCAATCAAGTTGCTTGTGCAATGCGCCTGGTACCACAGATTCCAAGCGTTGCGGTTCGCTGTGCATCACCTGACCTAAGTTTGAGGTAAAATATCTATATAGCCAATATATGATAATACAAAGTATTTATTATCTGACTAATAACATACATTTTGTTATTTTTATGCATTTCGTCTTTTTTATTATGTACCCATATGTGTTTTTCTTTATATATTTTTTGTGCATATTCATACGTAAATATAGTTATGAAGGCTACTATTAATTTGTATAGATCAAATGACATTTACACTCATAATCAAATCATAATAATCATTTCATTTGTGCACGTATTAGCAATGCCTCGCTGTAAGTTTTTTTGGCTAAAATTTAAATTGTACATTTTAAATGTATCGTATCGTTTAACTCTAGTACTGGATTTAAGAAAATTGTACCTGTCTAACCTCTTGGGAACTAAAGACGGGCTTTCACTATGTCAAATTCAGTGGCATTTGTTGTCAAATAAGTGAAAACACATTGTCAAATGGGATCATAAAGCGGTTTCTCGATTGATTTGGATTAGCATAGGTCTTTAGTCGTGTACATGCGGTGCGAAATCGGCTATCTGTCCGTTTTTGGCCCATAATATCGTTAAAGGTATGGATAAAGGAGATAAAGTTATGTCAAAATATGGCGCCAAATTTTGGCGTCAAAATAGGACATAGCGAAAATCAGTATTAAGTTAAATTACTTATATTAACAATTGCTAATTAAATGATAAGTAATGTGATATTTAAGCAGAAATTCGCTGGGTCAATCAGTTTCGTCTATAAATTTTTAATGAAGTTAAAATATTTATGTGGTAGACCCCATTGTTGAATTCATCGTACTCATAATTTTCGTCAACCCCACGAAAACGCTACTTCTTGCTTAAAAGTTCGAAGAATATTCAAATCGTTTGGACAATGCCAGATTCGCAAAATAGAACAAGTTCGTGTCACGATAGACAGTACAGTATTCACATTTGATAGAAATTGGACAATTTCTTGTTGAACTATTTACGTACTCTAGCAACCAAGTTGTTTGTTTAAGTAACGCTGACTGCCACTCTCCATAGGGAAAGAAGAAGAATTCTGCCAGAAGGGCCATTGTAATAATTGATTCTTAATCTACTGGGAAAACGTAAAGGAGAAAGTGCTCGCTCTTGACTGCGGTAGAAGCCATAAGAAAGTAAACCTTATATTCCCATTTAACAGTACTATGGGGAAAAAATTGATTTTTTTGGCATTAAGTTTAGATATGAAGATGATCAGTCCGAAATTTGATTTAGATGTATATTAAAGGGTTTTGAGTTGACCTACCAAATTTTGTTCGGCTCGAGGCACTATATCATATAGCCGCATATACCCGATCCGGCCGACTTACCACAACTTCGTTGTTGTATTATGGAGTTCTGAAGTGTTGTTCGGTTCGAAACCCTATAGCCGCCATATGACTGATCTGGCGGGCTTGCACCAACCTCGTTGGTTTTGATGCTATACCCTTGAAATTTGTTTCGCAAACTTTGGGATTCTGAAAAGAGTTATCTATTTGGTGAAACGCATTAATTGCATTTTAGCTGTAAAGAAACGGGGTTTTTTCAAAAAGGGGCAAAATGGGGCAAGAAAGATTAGTTATGTATAGTTAAGTAATATTTCCTCTAAATTCTTCTAAGACAACGAAAATTTCAATCAGCTGACTTTGAAAGCCTTATAATGAAAAAAGTATTCCCATCAGGATTTAATTTGAATAAGTTCTTTTACTAATTGGGATACATGTTTAGATTTAGGAAACAGATTAAATTTAAAATAAAAAACCCAAAAAAAAATTGGGATTTATGCAAAAATATGAACATTTTTCCCATAGTGCTGTGGTTGTTTTGTACAATGAAAACACATCTGAGCCATCTATATAACTATTTAATACGCGAAGGCATTTTTTGTTCAGGATAAAAGATCTGCACCTTTCGCTCGATTTTCAAAAATGAGGTGTCAAATTAAAGCGCTTGGCTTGGAGATGTGCAAACTGGTCTTATTTTTTCTAAGGTTTTACTTTTTTGGTAAAATTGCCACCCTTTAAAAAATTCGAATTATTTAAAAATATTCAAATTATTTAAAAAACAAATCAATTATTACAAATCGGATATCAATCGAAATGGTTTTGAAAAGCTTTGTTTCTTAACTTAACTATAGGAGGGCTGGCACCTGTTTAAAAATCAAATTCAATTTGAATTAAGGGAATTGGGTAAGAGAAATATGTATCACCATATGGGAGAAATACAAAAGAGGTCTCTGAAGGTAGTAGTTTGAAAATATTTTGAAGCAGGTTGCCACCTACTTGATATGTCGAATTTAGTTAACTTATAAACAAATACAATGTGGATGTCAAACGGAAGAGTGTTAACAAATCTTTAGTTTGAATAGCAAGAATATTTTTGAGGTGTTGGAAGAGGGTAGCCACCTGTTTAAAAAGTTAAATTTCAATTATTTACTGAGTTAAATGAATCAGTACCAGGTTGACCGAGCTTTGCCCGGAGTGCACATACTTTTTAAAGTTTTCAAGATTTGGATAGCTTTAAAAAAATATTTTGGAATTGAAAAAAATGGATTTCAATATCTAGTAAGTAAATTTCTTACTCTAAAATTTAGGTGGCAACCACATTCCGAAATACGTTGGAATCCATAGTACAAGTCATAAGCGTATATCGATGGCTGAGTGGAAGATCGACCTATCTCGGCAGCCAGTTCGAAAACGCTCTATCTCAAAAAACTTTTCAAGAACGCCCTATTTCAGAATTCGTTTCAAAAACGCCCTATCTCAGCTGCCGATTCAAAAACGCCCTATATCAGCATATTTTCAATACATTTTGAAGTGAGATAGGGCGTTTTTGAACCGAATTTTGAGATAAGGTGTTTTTCAATTAAATTCTGAAATAGGGCGTTCTTGAAAAGTTTTTTGAGATAGAGCGTTTTCGAACTGGCTGCCGAGATAGGTCGATCTTCCACTCAGCCATCGATATGTACTGTGTATACTTACAAAAAATGCTGATTGAAATTAACAAAATACAAATTTGTATTGCACAGAAGCGTGGCAACCTTGATCGAAAATATTTTCTGACCAAAGTTCTCAACAATACCTTTCATTTGATATCCATATTGCGATGTCTTAGATAGATTGCGAAATATCGAAAATAAGTGGCAACCTTACACTATTATCCTAAGGGATAACATTTTGTATATAGGGAAAGCATTGTTTAAGAAACTTCTCTTGGTACCCATGATTAGTAATATTTTACCTTTTTTTCTAAACAAAATTTTAAATAAACTTGCGATTCAAAATAGGAGGCGACCCTCTTAAAAATATTTTTGAATTAGGGATCTTTAAATTACCTTTAATTTGATACCCATATTATGATTTTATAATTAATTGTCACTAATTTCGAATAGGTGGCAACCATATACGAGTCTTCTCGGAGATTATGCCTATACAGAAATCTTAAAATCCAAAACATCTGTGTACAAAATTTCATCAAAATCGTTAGAACCGTTTCCTAGAACCCTATGGATATATATATATATATATATACAAGAATTACTCTTTTAATGTTATAAGATATCATTAAAATATGGATATCAATCGAAGGGGGTTTGTAAAATCTTTATTTCTGAACTTTATTTAACGAGGTTGCCACATGTTAATAAAAACAAGTAAGAAAGACTAAGTTCGGGCGGAGCCGATCATTAAATACCCGGCTCAAACATAAAATATATGTTGTTCCCCTTTACGAAAGCTACCGGTACTTGGTAAGCCGGGGTGTATAAATTTTGAGTAAATTAGCGTCCTTAAATTTCGAAATATTGAAGTTTCAAGCATTTCTGAAATTTACCGTTATATGAAAAGCGGTCGTAATTTTAGTCCGATTTCAATAAATTTCAATGTTTTGCTTATACATATGTGGCAAGCACAACAACCACACCGAGTTTGGCACAAATTGGTAGAACGGTTACCGGGATACATATATGTGATCATAAGTGGGCGGTGCCACGTCCATTTTCCAAAATTTTATCATAAACGTATTTCTTGGTAAAGAATTGTTGCAAGCATCAATTTTGAATAAATTAGCTTTAATATTTACTTATTATCGAATATTTTGTATTTTTAAGTTACCGTTATATGAGATGTGGGCGTGGTTATTGTCCGATTTTAAAAAAATTCGGCAATTTGGTATGCTGTACCGAGGCCAACAATTGTGCTAAGTTTGGAAGAAATTGGTGCAGTGGTTACCAAGATATACACATGTAGCCATAAGTGGGCGTGGCTAGGCCCATTTTCCAAAAATTTATAATGTTCTTATTTTTCGTCTGAAAATTATTGTAAATATCAATTTTGAGTGAATTATCTTCAGTAGTTACTAAAATATCGCAGTATTCGTATTTCTAAAAATTACCGTTATATGGGAAGTGGGCGTGGTTACAGCCCGATTTCGCCCATTTTCAATACCAACCTACCGTGGATAAATGGAAACCTACATACCAAATTTCGTTGAGATATCTCAATTTTTGCTCCAGTTATTGTGAACACGGACGGACGGACAGTCAGACATGGGTTAATCGACTTCTCCATTCATTCTGAGCATTTATGTATACATTTGTCTATATCTGTCTCGATTCGTTTTGGCTGTTACAACGTATTATTGTTATGTGAACAAAGTTAATATACCCTTCTGCACAAGTGCGCTCGGGTATAAATATATGTATCGCCATGTCTGAGAGCCAAAGGAGAGTTAAAGAGGTTTTAGCTTGAAAATATTTTGAAGAGGGCAGCCACCCGTTTGAAAGGTCTAATTTAATTAACTAATACAAAAATTATATGAATTATAAAACTACGGGAGTCAAACGATTGAATATTAAGAAATATTTCGTTTGAACATTTGAAAATTTTGACGAGGGTTGCCATGTGTTTAAAAGTTACATTCAAATTATTCAATAAGTTGTATGAATTATTAAAAGATAGGTATCAATCGAAATGTGTTTGAAAACTCTTTATTTCTGAACCTTATTAAGGAGGGCT